ATTCTCTCAGTTTTTTTTTTTGGGCACTGTCCCGAATGGTCCCGAATGACACCGCACTTGTGTTTTTTTTTTCTTCAGTCGTGTAATAAATCTCTTATTAACCAAGGTTGCTCTTTTTTTTTTTGGAAGAATATCGGCTCTCGGTCCTTTTTGTACGGACCGAGCGCAGCGAGGTCCGTACTGTCAAGACCTCGGGCCGAAATTCCCCCAGTACGTTTTTTTTTTTATATGTATCGTCTGTCGAGGCATTTCCCCATCATTAGATTTTTTTTTTTTACTGCGTTCGAGGTGAAGCAGCTTTGAATTACCTGCAAGGCGAATTTTTACATGCCTTCCGTAACGTGACCAACTTTTCAACACACTTCCTCCATTATTTCATCGATCTTTTTGTCGACTCTCGATTAAAAAGAAAGTCTTGATTTTTTTTTTCTTTAGAAATTAATGCAAAATAAGGGAATGATAACTTAGGTTTTTTTTTTTGATCTTAACTATACAAAAATAATGAGTATTCCTTAACACCTGCCCGTTTAAACTGAAGAGGTTTCAATTAAGACCAGTTGACAGCAGGTTATTTTTTTTTTTAAGGCATCTTACCACTGTTGCCAAGATTTTATTCATGGGATTTTTAAGGTCTCTGTCCTTTTCACAACTTCCTTTCCATAATCGGAAGTTATTTTTTTTTTTGTCTTACCAGCTTGTTGCTGCAAGAACCGCTCTAAAATGTTTTTTTTTTTTGGTGAGAAGTTAATTCAACCGACAGGTACCTTCTCTAGTAATTTTTTTTTTCAAGTGTAAGTTATCGTAGACTTCACGGTCGACCAAATTACCAGTTTTATCATCGTGAAATCTTCGACCGTCGAACCAATTATTCGGACATCCCGCTTTGGGCATGGGAAGGCCATATTTACCAGTTGGCCATGAAACTTTTCTTTTTTTTTTCACAAATAGGTTATAAGGTAATAAAATGAAAAGGGAAGGTGTTTTTTTTTTGCGAAATGCATGGCTATATGTTGCGTTATCCTGGATGCATCTTTTTTTTTTGGGACCGAACAGCTTTGCAAAGAAAAAGAGTACAGCGTTTGTTTTTTTTTTCAAATCCAAAACTCGGGATAGCCTTCTCATGAAGCTATATATTTTTTTTTTGTCAAAGTATATAAATAGAGTCTCTCATAATACATAGCAAGTTTTTTTTTTAGCTATGATCTTTCAGGTTTAAAATGCGCATCAGCCTTTGCTGGAATTCTTTGAGAAAAGGTAACTGTTCTTCGTTATAATTTGGATATATCTTTTTTTTTTGAATGGTAAACTGGCCAGCGTAACGATTACAAAAGCTGACGTTTTTTTTTTTAGCCCTTCGTCGGAGCGAAGGTGTTCTTCGTTATCTCAGAAACATATTCTTCCTTTGAAGGTAGAGCGGGAGTTTTCCATGCATAATCCACTTTTTTTTTTAAACAATTTATTAAGCGTCACTTTTTTAACGGTAAGTATAGACTTGTTTGATGCTCCAAAAAAACAAACCCAAAACTTGTTATTCGCCTTAATTTTTTTTTTATGGAAGACGCAAGCGGCATGTGATGAACGTCATAAGCTTATTTTTTTTTTGTTTATAATTTGGATATATCAACAAAGTTGAAATGGTAAATTGGCCACCGTAACGGTTACAAAAGGTGACGTTTCGAGCGTTAGCCCTTCGTCGGAGCGAATAGAGGAATTGTGGGTTGTGTGTGCTTTTAAAGGCAGAAAATGAAGCTACGTTATTGGTGGGAAAATGGCAACGAGAAAAACAAGAATAAATTAGTGGAATGAAAAGCGTTCGTTGATCCCTGTGGGATTTAGACTGCCGGTTTGAAAGATGAGCTTTTGTTCAAGATTTTTACGGCTTTCCGTGCTACCTAAGTGTAAGGAAAGACCGCAGATTGCCATATGTTGCTTAGAATGATTAGGTAAATTAAAATGTCTAGCGACTGGTTTCGATGTGTCCTTGTCATTCCTTTCCACGTCTCGAAGGTGTTCTCGGAATCGGTCACCTAGTCTTCTGCCTGTTTCGCCGATGTATATCTTTTTGCAATAAGTGCAAGTTATGCAATAGATTACATTGGCGGAGGTGCACGTGAAGTGATCGGTGATCTTAATGGATCGTTTAGGTCCCGATATTTTATCAGTGTTGTGAATGAAAGGACACGTTTTGCATCGTGCACGAGCGCATTTAAAAGTGCCTGGTTGGTCATTAGTCTGAAAAGAACTTCTGACCAAAAAATTGCCTATGTTTTTGTCGCGTTTGAATGAAATGAGCGGAGGCTGCGAAAAGATAGTGCTTGTCTCTGGATCGTTTTGAAGTAATTTAAAGTTTTTAAGAATGATGGATTTAACTGAGTGGTTGTGAGGGTGAAACGTGAGAGTGAATGGAATGCGGTCGGAATCTTCCTTATGCGACGTTTGTAGTGCTGAATGTCGATCAATAAGTTGGGCGCGGTGGTAACCCGCTTGAACGACAGAAACAGGGTAACCACGTTTATCGAAAAACTGGCACATTGACTCTGATTTGTGGTGGAAATCAGAGTCATCACTACATAAACGACGAAGTCTTAGAAACTGAGAAAAAGGAATGGAATTCTTAACGTGAGATGGATGCGAAGACGAATATAACAAGTAATTATGCGAGTCTGTAGGTTTGTAATACACACTAGTGCATAAACCGTTACCTTCAATTGAAACTTTGA